GTCCCCTGTCCCGTGTGTCCGGTGTCCTGCGTGTCCATCCTGCCATGTCCCAGCTCCATCCGTGCCCTGCCGTGGCTCCGCCTCCTCCACGGGGACCCATCCCCACCTCAGGGCAACCCCCTCATTTTGGGGGTCCCCCCCCGGGCTGGTTGGGGCCGATGTAGCGCAGGAGGGGGGCAGGGGGCCGGGCCAGCACCTCCCGCCCCACCAGCGGCTGCAGCACAGGGGGCACCCGGACACGGCCGTCCTGCAGGGTGACACGGGGTGGAGTGAGCCCCCCCTGAGCCCCCGAAGCCCCCCACGGGACCTCCGTAAAACACTCACCGGGAGCTGGTTGCACTCGAGGAGCGCGATGAGCACCCGGGGCACGGCACAGGCGGTGCCGTTCACCTGAAGGGGGGAAGACATGGGGTCAGGGGGGCTCAGGGACCGCCCCCCACACCCCGGGTTTTGGGGTTCTCCCGGGGATTTTGGGGAGTCACCCACCGTGTGGGCATGGCTCAGCCGGCCCCCTTCCCCGCTGTACATGATGTTCAGCCGCCGGCTCTGGTAATCAGTGCAGTTGGAAGCGCTGGAAATCTGGGGGGTGGGGAAGGAGAGGGGACAGGAGGTTTTGGGCAACCCCCTCCTGTACGCCAGGAACCCCCCAAATCAGGAGTCCCGATCTGGCAGCAAGGGCGGGAGCAAAGGGGGGGCTATAAACAGGGAGGGAGACATCACGCTCAGCACTGCTCTGGATTTTTTGGGGGTTCTCCTAGAATTGTTTGGGTTCTCCCTCAATTACTGGGGTCCCAGACGCCCCCCTCACCTCCCCAAATTTGCCCCGTCCGGGCATCCAGGCCTCGATGTCGAACTTGCGGTAAGCAGGAAGCCCCAACTCCTCCGTGGGCATGTCCAGGACGCTGGGGGACCCAGGGGGGATAGTTACAAGAAATTTCGGGGTCCCAGGGACTGGGAGGACCCCCTCCCCAAATCCCCCTCACCGGTAATGGAGCCCCAGCTCCAAGAAAATCTCCTTCTGGAGCCCCAGGAACTCGTCCAGCAGCTTCTCGCTCTCTGTCCCGCGCTCAGCCGCTGTCACCCCGAACATCTCCACCTTCCGGGGGGGAGCACGGGGTGACTCCCCTGCCTTTCCCTCCCCAGGGGTCTCCCAGTGCTCCCAGTACCTTGGTGAACTGGTGGACGCGGTAGAGCCCCCAGGGCTCCCGGCCTGTGTCGGTCTCAGCACGGTAGCAAGTGCTGGAACACACGACCCTGGTGGGGGGGACACAGGTCAGGGGGGCCCACAAAACAGCCCCTACCCCCCCGGGAATCGGGGTGGGATCTTCAGAGGGAGAGGGGGGGTCTCTGGGGGGAGACACCCACCCCGTACCTGACAGGTAGGTCCTGCAGCTGCACTGCGTGGTCCATGAAATACCCTGGATAGGGGGGCACAGGGTGACCCCCCAAATCCATCTGGCCCCCACCCCCTTTCTCCACTTTTTCCCCCATTTTCCCTCCTTTCTCCCAGTTTTTTCCTGTTTCCTTCCTGGTTTTCCTGTCTTTCTTCCCCCTTTTCTCTCATCCTCCTGTTTTTCCCCATGTTTTTTCTGCTGTATTTTCGCCTTGGTTTCCCCTGCTTCTTCCCCATTTTTCTCCTGTTCTCCCACTACTGCTGCCTCTTTCTCTCCGTTTTCCCCCTTTAATTTACCATTTTCCTCATACTCTCCTCTGGTTTTCCCCGTTTTCACTCATATTCTCCCCCACTCCATTTCTCCCCTTGTGTTTTCACCATTTCCCCCCAGTTTCCCACCTGCAATTCCCACCTCCGAGGTCCCGGCCAGGCACAGATCCTCAAAGCGCGCAGGATCGATGTTGTAAACTGGGGAAGGGGTAGCGCTGGGCTGGACCCCACAGCCCTCCTGGGGGACACAGGGGGTCACCTGGGATCACACAGGTGCCAGGGGGAGCTCAGGGGACTCGGGGACCACTCACAAAAACGGCTCCTCGCAGCAGGTCTGGCACTGTCATGGGCAGGAAACCCTAGAAGATAGGAAGGTCAGGAGACCCTGACTCCCCTGGGTGCCCCCCGAGCCTCCTTAGATCCCCCCCAGACCATCCCAGAGCCTCCCCGGATCCCCCCAGACCATCCCAGAGCCTCCCCGGATCCCCCCCAGATCCCCCCCACACCTTGCTGAGCAGCTTCTGCAAGGTGAAGGTGACGAGGGCGTGCTGGAGTAGGGCCCCAGCCCCGCACAGGTAATAGGAGCGATGGCCCGACACATGGGACAGCCGCCTGCACAGGTAGGACAGGTGTCGGACACCTGGGGACACCCCCCACCTCGCAATGATGCAAGCAATGGCCTGACACATAGGACAGGTGTGGGATAGGTGTGTCCCCCCTCCAGTTGTTGCTCACCTTTGCCGGATGATGTCCAGGCCCTCTCCCAGCTCCAGGTGTCCCTTTGGCTTGAAATCAAACACTGGGGAAGGGAGGGGGAACCTTTGTCACCCCAGACACTCCAAACCTTCCCCCCAAATCCTCCCTGAGGAATCCCCAAACCATCCCGAACCCTCCTTCTCCCCCCTCCAAATCCTTCCTCACTCCACCCCAAATTTTCCAATACCCCCAGATCCTCTGAACGCCCCCCAAACCCTTCATTTTCCACCCAACGACCCTTCTCCTCCTCCCCCCCCTCAACAAAAAACCTCCCCAAGATGCCCCAAAACACCTTTCACCCCTTACCTGGTTTCTCACCAACCACTTCGAGCAGCCGGGCCTGACTCTGGTCCCCAACGGGCTGGGAAGGGCACAACGGGGAGTTGGGGGGGGCCAGGAAAAACCACAGGCCAGAGGGGGTGTCGGGGGTATTTTATGGGGATTTTTGGGGGTCTCACCACAGCAGGGTGGGTTCTGTTGGGCAGCTGCAGGGCCCCCAGGTAAAATTTCTGCTCCAGGTCGGATTCCTCGGCCTCAAGCACCCGGAGCTGCTCTCGGAGACTCCGGCCCCGCTCCCGCAGGGCTGCCAATTCTGGGAGCTGCTGGAGGGCCACCGTGAGGGCAAGGAGGGCCAGGAATCCCCCGAGACCCCCCAAAATTCCATTCCTACCGTCTTGGCCGCCGCCTTGTCGTGAAAGGCCTGTGGGGGAAAAGGAGTCAGGTCGTCCTAGGGGATTTGGGGGGGAAGAGAGGGGATCTGGGGGGGATGGGGGGATCTTAGAGTGGTTTACGGGGAAAGCGAGGGGGGTCCTGGAGGGTTCCAGGGGGAATTGAGTGGGGACCAGAGGGAGAGCCAGTGGAGCCTTTGGGGGTCCAAGGGGGAACCCAGGGTTCCCGAGGGTCTCACCATGATCTCGCGGACCCCCTCGGCCACGCGCCCCTTCTCAGCCTCCAGCCGGGCGATGCCATCGCGGACCTTCCCCAGCCGCGACCACGTCCGCACCTGAGGGCGTGGCCAGGACGTGGCTCAGGTGGGCGCCCCGGCCACACCCAAACTCCGGGATAAGCCACACACCGACCCCACTCCCGAAGGCCCCGCCCACGCCGTTCCCGCCACTCACGATCTCCCGGAGCGCGGCGCCCCCCAGCGGCCCGCGCCGCTGCTCCACCTCGCGCTCGCTGAGCGCGGTCACGTCGAGCTGCGGCCGCGCGCTCAGCCCCTCCCGCACGTGCTCGTACAGGCGGCTCCGTCCCGGCCCGGCCCCGCCACCGGCAGCGGGACCCGGGCCGGGAGCGGCCCCCGAGGCCCCGCGGCGCCCGCCCGCCGCCGCCGCGCGCACCGCGGCCAGCAGCCCCCGGCGTGCCGCCATCTTGGGCACCGGCGCGCGGGTCACGTGGAGGAGGGGCCGGGGGCGGGGCCGGGCGCGCGCGGGGACCGCACTTCCCCCGGGCAGCTTTGGCCACGCCCCCTCATGGCCCGGCCACGCCCCCGGCCTAAGACCGGCAGCGCTCCGCGTTTGGCGACCTCCGTGACCCCCCCAGGACCATCCTAATGACCCCCCAGGGTCACTTCAGTGACTTCCCCAGTGATATCAGCCCCGTGACCCCAATGACACCCCCAGGATCATCCCAGTGACCCCTCGGTGTCCTCCATTGCCCTTAACTACACCCCCGAGTTCACCGATCCATCTCCAGACTTCCCAGGGGCTCCCAGTCCTCCCCGTGCCCTCGCAGCCGCTTCCCAGTGACCCCAGGCCTCCTTCCCAGGGGCTCCCAGTCCTCCCCGTGCCCTCGCAGCCGCTTCCCAGTGACCCCAGGCCTCCTTCCACAGCCCACAAGGCCTATGTCCCCAAAGGCCCCTTCCCAGTGCCTCCAGTCTCCCCACGAACCTTCCCAGCACCCCCAAGATCATTCCCAATATCCCCACCACCACTCCACACCACAACGCGCATCATCACCAACTTTTAATCCGAACAACACCCAGGGCCAGCCGCCTGGAGACCCTCACTAGCCTAGAGCGCATTCCCAGGACCCCCTCTCATTTCTTCGCCTGCACGTGGGCGCAGTCGTACTTTCCACGCACCACGGTGAGTTTGACGCCGGGCAGGTCCTGTGTTCGCCCACCCTGCACCAGCACGATGTGGTGCTCCTGCAGGTTGTGGCCCTCGCCGGGCACGAAGGCGATGACCTCGCGGCCGGTGCTCAGCCGCACCCGCACGCATCGGCGGTTCGCCGAGTTCGGCTTCTTGGGCTTTCGGATCAGGTTCTTCAGCACCACCCCCTTGATCTGGGGGCGGCCCAGGGTGGGCCCCAGTTTGCGGGGAGGGTGCGCGGGGCGGCCCTGCCGGTGCATCTGGTTCAGCGTGGCCATGGCGGCGGATGGAGAAGGTGGCGGCGGCGACGGGAGGAGCAGCCCCGGACCTGCGGAGGAGACACGGAGAGGGATCAGGGGGTTTGGAGGAGACGGCGGGTTTTGGGGAGGACGGGTGATTTACGCACTGTAGCGGGGCAGCGAGGCGGCAGCCCTGAGCACGGCGCGGACCGACATCTCCGAGGCTCTGAGGGGAGAACGCACGGTCAGAACTGACTGGGGAGGGCACCGGGGACCAGCGGGCAGCGGCGGGACCGCAACCCCCACGTTCCCCTCAGTGCGCCGCCATTTTACCCGGATCCGAGCGCACCGCGCTACGATTGGATATCAGAGATGCCAATCTCCGTGATTCGTGCGATGATTGGCCAGATTACCGCTTAATCCCGCTCCAATCGCTGCAGAGCCACGGCCTCGAGACACGGCCCCTCGGCAGCAACTTCCGTCTTACACCGCGCCCCTCCCCCTAAGCCCCGCCCCAAACTGCCTTCCCCTCCATAGGCCACGCCTCTTGCCCATATTGGGCTCCACTCACTCCGCTCCTCGCCCATATTTGGGTGGCCACGCCCCTCCCCCGTGTCCCCGCCTCCCAGGGGCGGGGCCTGTCGCCGCGGCGACGCGGCCGTGGGAGGACCCGGATGTAGCTCGCTCCCAACATGGCGGCGGCGGCCGAGTGAGGCCTGAGGGGGCCCCGGGGGGGGGGCTGAGGGCGCTCGGGAGGAATTTGGGGATTTCGGGGAGATCTGGGGTTTGGAGAGCCCCCCCTTCAGGGCCAAGGAATTCTGTGGTGATGGAGGTGGGGGGTTGGGAGTGTGCTTGGGGACAGTTTGAGGCTCCCCAAATCCCCCGGGGGGCGGCAGCAACAGCCTTGAGAAATCCTGGAATTCCCGGGGAGCATCGGAATATGGATCTAACCACCCCCTGCCCTAAAAACACTCCGAAAAGGGAGGTCCGGGGTGCTCCTGAGGGAATTCCATTCTTTCTGTGCAGCCCTTTTCCCGGAGGACCCGGAACGCGGAGCTGAGGCAGGAAAGTTTTCCCTTCGTGGAAGGTAGGAAACGGATCCAGAATGAATTCCCGGAGTTTTTTATCCTAAAAGAATTTGGGGGGTCTTCTCCCCACGCTCCCATCCAGCCCCAGAGCCCTGGGATGGATTTTTCCAGCGTTTCCTGTGGATTTGGGTCAGGAACTCCAAGGCAGATGGGCACTAGGATTCTTCAGAAATGTCCTAACTTTTCAAAAACAGCGTTTTCCCCCAATTTTGGTGCAGTGGGAAGGGAAATCGCCATTCCCAGTGTTTTTTGTGGTATTCCTGTCGCCGTTCCTATATAGGAAATGAGAAATCAGAAAAAGACTCTGAATTTGGGCTTTTAGTTGTGTTTTCTCTGTAATTTAGTGAATTTTCATATAAGTAATGGTGGGATAGAGGGATTGACCCGCACTCGGCTTGGAAATTAGTGGAAATCTGGTTTATGGGGAATAACCAGATGTGGATATTCAGATCCAGCAGTCCTGTGGAAATGGCCAAAAAACTGACTACTCCCACCATTCCCTGTGGGATTTGGGGGTAAATGGTGGGGATTTGGTCACCGACATCTCATTAACAGCTGCGGGATGTGCACGAATTTCTCCGGATTTTCCAGGAAGAAATTCCAAGCCCTTGGCTTTAGTTAATCTTTTAACTTGTTCATTCCCATGGGATAAAACCTGGGTTCCCTCGACCCCAGGGAGGAATTTCTGGAGGTGTTCCCAAACCAGCTCCAGGAGGGATTTGCCATTTTCCTGGATTTTGCTGAACTGGATCGTTATGGATGGATGGGATCGTTAACTGATTAATTGGATCATCATTAATTGGCCCTTCCTTTGCCCCGAGCCGGACATTCCCGACGCTCCTGCCTCCCTCTCCTTTACACTTCCACCTCCGGGGAAACTTCCTGCTGCAGGATAAGAGCCGAATTCTTCCAGAATTCCTCTTTTTATTTTTTCCTTCGCACTTTTGTCAATCCTCACCCCTTTCCTGGTTCTTCTTTTCCTTGTTCTCCCCCTTCCTCTCCCTTCCCTCTCGTCCTCGTTTTCCCGGTGATTACGGAAGCTTTGAGCAGTCGATTCCCTTTTCCCAGGAGTTCGGATCTCCTGGTTCCCTTCCCGGATTTTTTCCTGTTCCGGTGAGTTTGGAGACTCCTCGTGGGTCACCAGATTCCTGGAATTCCGGGATTCCTCCGGGCGAAGACCGACACTTCTCCTCCTCTTCCTCCTCCTCCTCCTCCTTTTCCTCCTCCTCCGGCAGATCCAGCTGGGCCAGTCCAACTCGCCTTTCCCGGCCGGAGCACTCCGGCCCCGGTCCTGCCGGCCTCCCTTTCCCGGGAATGTGACCCCTTTTGCGGGGAACCCCGGCATTCCAGCCCGGGGGATTGACCCGCGGGTCCGGGACCGCCCGGCACTGCTTCCCGGCTTGGTTTTGCTTAAGGAAAACAACCCCGAGCTGCTCCCAGCAGGATCCGGCTGGGATTTCAGAGCTCCAGGGATCATCGGGGATCAGGAAAACGCGTTTTCACCGTTCCTGCCGGAATTCCGGGCGTTTTCGGGACGCTTTGATCTGTCCCTGTTGCCTTCAGGAGCTGCTTCCCGAGGATCCCGAATTCCCGCCGGGGCCCCTGGAGGTGGAGGTTTTTCATGGAAGATGTGGATTTGGAGTCTCTTCCTGTTCCAGCTGACACCAGGAAAATAATTCCACCAAAGAAAAAAGCCAGTCAGGGATTTTCCAACAAAGACTTTGGCTCTTCCCTCTTCTTCCCAAAAGGATCAAACCCAGCATGAGTTCGGGATTCAGGGAACTTTAGGGCTGAAAAAAAAAAAAAAAAAAAAAGAAAAAGAAATAAGCAGTGGGAATACGAGGTAAGTTTTTCATCTGGCGGAATTTTCTCACCATGTCCCCTCAGGGATCCTGAGAAGGCTCTGGAGCAGGGATTCCCTGGGAATCCCTTCGGGATCCCTTGGGATCGACCTGGGTGCTCTCCCCATCTTCCCGGGACTCTCTGGTTCTGTAGGGGCCCGCTCGGAATGTTAGGTGAAAATGGAGCAACTTTGGGGCAAAGGGAGGAGAGATGGGATGGATGAACCAGCTCCACACAGCCGAGGGGGTGGGAAAAATGGGAATACTGAAATTTGGGAAGCAGGATGAAACCAAACACCACGTCTGGAATGCCGTGATGCCACCCTGGGCATTTGTTCTCCTGAAATTCACCCAGCTCCGGTCTGAAAGTCCTGCAATTTGCTGGAGATCCCGTTTCAGTCCCTTCTTGGACACCCTCCTGCCCGGTAACATCTGATTTTCCTAGATTTGGGCTTCATGGGAAGCCGTGAGGCACCGCCGTGCTCCTTTTTTCCCCCCCTTTATTTTTCCCTTTCTTTTCCGTCCCAAAGCTGCCAGTGCGATTCTCACCGAGGCACAGCCTAAGTGCCAGTGATTTGGGGGGAATTTGGGCAGGTTTTGTGGGAAATTTTAGGGAAAATACGAGAATGTTCCACCCAGTGTCGCCTCAGTTCCTTGTTAATTGGTCACTGATTAAACACCACTGGGATCCCAGGAATGCGACCTGGGAAAGGCTGAGGAATAAGTTCACCCCCTCCTGGCCCGCATCCCACTCTCTGGAATTCTTCAGGACCCCTCTGCCCCTGCCAAGGGCCGCCAGTTTTTCCCCAACCGTCTGAAAAAAAGGGGGATTTTTGGGGTGAAATCCTGTGGATTTGGTGTCCAGAGGCCCCGAATACGACACCTCCCCGATGTTCTGGCTGACTTGCATCATCCTCAGATATTTCCCATGGAATTCCTAGCAGGAAAAGCCCAAATGCAGCAGATTTTAATCCTCCCACTTCAAATTCAGCTGTGGTTTTCCCAAACCAGGAGAATTTTCCATCCAAAAATGGGATTTGGCAATCCAGGGAGGATCCCAGCAGTGTCCTGGAAAGGTAGAAGGAGGCATCAGCCCAGGATGAGCAGGGAAAATGGCGAATGTACAGGATTCTGACAGATTTTCCTTGGGGTCGAAGTAGACGAGGAAAAAAACTTCGTAATGGATCACTGACTTAAGGAGAAAAACCTCAAAGACTGGGATAAAATAGTGAGAAAACCTTGGAAGTGGTGGGATTCTGGAGCCCGGAAAATGGGATTGAGCTGGGAAAAAATGGGAGGAAACTGGCACTGGGAAAAGCAGTGCGAGTGGGAAAAATGAACCCGCCCGGGATCCACAGGATTTTGGAGCCATTCCCAGTGGGATTTATGGCCCCACTGGGATCACATTCCCAAAACTCTCCCAGCTCAGCTCATTCCAGGCCTGGAAACTGCAGGAAAAACATGGAAAACCAGGGAATTAAATCAGCCAAACCCTCGGATTGTGCCCCAGAGCACTGATCCTGGCACTGGGATCCCAGGAAAAGCGGATTTTTAAAATATTTTAGCACATTTTTTTAATTTGCTTGTTGGTCCAAATGGGAATTTCTGGAATTCTTGGGTGTTTCCAAGCTTGGACTTGTGGAAAAATGGGAAGTAATTGGATAAAAGTGGGGGATGTTGGACAGAAGTAGCCAGTGGACGGATAAAAATCATTCCAGCAGCAAGATTTTCAGTGCTGATCCCGTCCATGCCAACGTGTTTCATCCCAACTACACTTCCAATTAATTTCATGCTAACTATGGGATTTGGGCACTAATCCCATTCCCAGGGACATTCCCCACTGTAACAGTGGATTTCAGGGGCTGATCCCAGTCCCAGGGCTGGATTTCAGGGGCTGATCCCAGTCCCAGGGCTGGATTTCGGGGGCTGATCCCAGTCCCAGGGCTGGATTTCGGGGGCTGACACTGTTCCTGACGCCAGTTCCCATTGCCCTCACCCTCACCCTGGGTTTTGGGTGCCGTTCCCGTTGCCAGGAGCGCGTCCCGGGCCATGTTCTCCAAGAAGAAGAAGCGCGTGGAGATCTCGGCGCCGTCCAACTTCGAGCACCGGGTGCACACCGGCTACGACCCCTCGGAGCAGCGCTTCACGGGGCTGCCCCGGCAGTGGCAGGGGCTGCTCGAGGAGTCCGCCCGGCGCCCCAAACCCCTCGTGGACCCTGCCTGCATCACCGCCATCCGCGGGGCACACAAGGTGCAGGAAACCGGGCCTTGGGAATTCGGGGGGGGATGTGGGGTTATCGGGTGGGGAGGGTGTGGCCAGGTTGCCCTTCTGGGTTTGGGGTCTTGGAGGAGGTAATGGGGTTCTGAGCGCTCTTTGGGGTTGAATTGGGACAGTTTGGGGGTCTTGGAACAACAGGATTTTGGGATCATTCAATGTTTGGGGGGTTGTGGAGCAGGTAAGGGGGTGCCGGCCACTCTTGGGGCTCAAAAAGCCAAACTGGGGGGAATCTGGGGGTCAGGGAGGTGGGAGCTGGGTCCCACCCCTTTCCTACCTCCCAAAAAGACAAACTGGGGGTTCATGGACCGGGGGATTTTGGGATCACGGGATATGGAGGGAGGAGGTGGAGGTTCATTCAGTTCCTGGGGTGGGTTTGGGGGAATTTGGGGTTATGGAGAATGTGTGGAGGTCCTGGACATTCTTCGGGGTCAAACTGGGAGGAATTTGGGGGTCTTGGGACAGGGAGGTGACGACGGGGGTGCCCCAGGACAGGGAACCCCTGGTGAGACCCTTCCCCACACCTGGAACCAGCCCACCCCATGGGAACTCGGGGCCATTCCCACCCGATCTCTTCCCCATTGTGTGTGTTCCCAATTAAATCCCACATCCCCCCGTACTCCGACATCCACCTATTCCCACTTCAGCTCTGATGTCCCCCAGTTCCATTTTGGGACCCTCCCAGCGAGGTTGGACCCCAATCCCTGGGGGGGGGAACCCACGGTCATTTTGGGATCTGAGACTCTCCCCGGAGGGACACCCCAGCCAAGCCCCCTCCCCTTTACCCATCCTGCCATCCCCCTGCATCCATTCCATGTCATCTTTCTGTTGTTTGGTTTTTTTTTTGTGTGTGTGTGTGGTTTTTTTTTTTTTCCTTTTTTCCTCCGTTTCCCCTATGTGTTCCCCCCTTCCCACAGCCCATCGTGCGCGGCTCCAAAGGGACCCAGGATGGGACCCCCGGGGGCCGGGACGGGACCCTGGCGTGGCTCCTGGACGAGCTGGAGGCCGTGTCCGTGTCCCGCTCCAACTCCCTGCGCCGGGACAGCCCCCCCTGCCCCTCCCGGCACCCCCCGGAGAACGGCCTGGCCCCGGGACCCCCCCGCTCCCGCCCGGAGCCCGGCAGGAGCCGCCGCGGGGACCCAGAGCCGAGCCCCCCCCAGTCCCAGCATCGGGAGGACCCCAGAGCTGCGGCCGGGCAGGAACCTCCCCACCCTCACCCCCACCCTCACCCCGGGGGCCGCCCCAAATCCAGCTCGGCCGGAGAGGGGCCTGCGCGGCCCCCAGCCCGCGAGCAGCGCCCGCTCTCGGGGCCCGACCTGCGGCCCCCCGACATTCCCGGTGTTCCCGGTGCTCCTGGAGCAGGGCTGAAGACGGCGCCCGGACGCCCCTTCCACACCTACCCCCGCGCCGACACCGACCCCGGCCGGGGGGGTAGTGCCCAGGTAAAGGGGTGTCCTCAGGCCCTTCCTCGTCCTCCTCTTCCTCTTCCTGCTCTTCTTCCTCCTCTGGAGTGGGTTCTCTGCTCCTCTTCCTCACAGCTTCCCACGCTCCGCTGGGATCAGCAGCAGCTTCCTGCCTTAGGGTCACATCCTTGGCTCTGGAGCGGTTTCCTCTTCTTCTTTTGCTTCCTCTTCCTCTCCATGCTTGTCCTTTTCTTCCGCAGAAGCGGCTCCTCTGCTCCTCTTCCTCGCAGCTTCTCAGAATCGGAACATGCAGGGGCCGCCCCCTGCCCAGTGCTGCGTCCTTGGCACCGCAGCAGTTTCCTCTTCTCTTCCTCTTTGGAAGCAGCTCCTCTGCTCCTCTTCCTCGCACCTGCTCCACGCTTCCTTCCTGGTGCTGCGTCCGTGGCTCCAGAGTCTCTTTCTCTTCGCCTTCCCCTTTTTCGTTCAGCCCTCCCCTCCCCAGCCTCTGCCCGGCGCTGGCCCCCGACATTCCTGTGGGAACTCTGGGGGCTGATGCCCCTCTCCCCTGTCCCCACAGGCCGAGCAGCGCCCGGGACGCCCGCAGGAGGTGACCCCCAACGGGCCGGTCCCCGCCGGTGCTCCCGGTGCCTCCCACGCCCCCGGCCCCCTACGCCCCAAAGCCCCGGAGCCATCTGCCCCGGAGCCCCCGGCCCCACGCGCCCCCGGCCCCGCACCCGCCCCGGCAGGGGGGCCCCAGCGCGTGTCCCACGAGCAGTTCCGGGCAGCGCTGCAGATGGTGGTGGACCCCGGCGACCCCCGCACGTACCTGGACAACTTCATCAAGATCGGCGAGGGCTCCACGGGCGTCGTCTGCATCGCCACCGTGCGCGGCTCCGGCAAGCTCGTGGCCGTCAAAAAGATGGACCTGCGCAAGCAGCAGCGGCGGGAGCTGCTCTTCAACGAGGTGAGGGCAGGGCCAGCCCGGGGGACCCCTTGAGGGCCTTGGGGACCATCAGGAACCCCTTGTATCCCCTCAGGATGCCCTCGGGGCCTCCTCAAAGCCCCTCAAGGAAGGACCTCTTGCTGACCCACCAGGGAGCTCTCAAGTGCCCTGGGGACACCCGAGGACAGTCCCGGGGTCCCACGCCCTTGTCCCCCTTCCCCCCGTCCAGGTGGTGATCATGCGGGACCACCAGCACGAGAACGTGGTGGAGATGTACAACAGTTACCTGGTGGGCGATGAGCTTTGGGTGGTCATGGAGTTCCTGGAGGGCGGCGCACTGACGGACATCGTCACCCACACCAGGTGACCGGGGGAAGCAGGGGTGGCACAGGTGACAGGGCGGTGACAGAGCTGGCAGGGCGGTGACAGGACGGTGACAGGGTGGTGTCCATCCCCCAGAATGTCAGAGGAGCAGATCGCAGCCGTGTGCCGCTCGGTGCTGCGGGCCCTTGCCGTGCTCCACGCCCAGGGTGTCATCCACCGTGACATCAAGAGCGACTCCATCCTCCTCACACACGATGGCCGGGTAGGAACCCACAGAAATTCCCCCCAGACCTCCCCATGGATCCTTTGGGATCCCTCCCTGACCATCCCCGGCCCTGTTGGCAGGTGAAACTCTCAGATTTTGGGTTCTGTGCCCAAGTGAACAAGGAGGTGCCGCGGCGCAAGTCCCTGGTGGGGACCCCATACTGGATGGCCCCCGAGCTCATCTCCCGCCTGCCCTATGGCCCAGAGGTGGGTTAGGGGGCTTGGGGGAGTTTAGCGGGTCCTGGGTGCATTAGGGGGTGTTTAGGGTGGGTTTCAGGGGGTTTGGGATGAGTCTAGTGGGGTTGGGGTGGGTGTGTGGGCCCCCAGGCTCATCTCCCGCTTTCTCTACCACCCTGAGCTGTCTTGTGGGGGGGTTGGGATGGGTTTGAGGGTGCCCAGGATGTGTTTAGGGTTGCCCAGGGTGGGTTTGGGGGTACCCAGCATATGTTTGAGGGGCTCCAAGTGACCTCCCCTCCAGACCCCCCCATTCTGGAGGCTATATATTTGGAAGGGGGAGCACAGAGTGGGTTTGAGGGGCTCCTCCCTAAATCCATCCTCATTTTTGGGGTGACCCTTCCCCTTCCAGGTGGACATCTGGTCTCTGGGGGTGATGGTCATTGAAATGGTGGACGGGGAACCCCCTTATTTCAACGAGCCCCCTCTCAAAGCCATGAAGCTGATCCGGGACAACCTTCCCCCCCGGCTTAAGAACGGCCACAAGGTAACTCGGGGGGACTGCGCCCCTTTTCTGGGGAGTCCCAGGGGGTGTCTTACACCCCCCCTGTCGTTGTCCCCAGGTGTCCCCATCGCTGAAGGGGTTCCTGGAGCGGATGCTGGTGCGGGACCCAGCGCAGCGGGCGAGCGCCCCGGAGCTGCTCCGCCACCCCTTCCTGGGGGTCGCGGGCCCCCCCGCCTGCATCGTGCCCCTCATGCGGCAGCACCGGCTGCGGTGAGACCCCCCCTGCCCTTAGGGGACAGCCCCCAGCCCCCTCCTGCTCCTCCTCCTCAGCAGCACCCCAAACTGGAGTGGGACTGGGATGTTCCTGGGCCCCCCAACCTGTACTACTGAGCTGGGGACCCCACAGCAGCGATTTTGGAGGGGAGGGGGTGCGGCTGTTATCCCAAGAT